AGTCCATGAACCATTTACTTTAACCAATTCTTCATTTATTCTCATACAAACTTCTTTTGGCAAATCTGTGTAATTAATAAGCTCCTGAAGAATTATTTGTTCTTCTGTATATTTTTGGCTTTTAGGAAGTGGAGATCTTACCTCTTGTACTTTTCCATTACTTGCTGCAGATATTGTCTCTCCTATTACAGCTGGTAAGTCATCATTTATTTGTTCTGTCTCATCATTGTTAATTTGATTTTGTTCTTTATCATATTCCTTTTGCTCACTTACTTTAATATGAGGTAGATTTTTTTTTCAAATCCATTTGCTCTTAGATTTAATAAACAATTTTACAGTGGATTTATTGTTATGAATTATAATTATGGAATTATGATATGGGTTATGGAATTAAAATACAGATAATAATTATAAAATTAAATGATCAATGGGACAATAATTAAATTATCAAAAATAAGTTATGATATTATGTATATTTTATTAATAATGTTTAAATAACAGAGGTAGTTAAAGAATTTTTTCATAATTGTTTTAAAGAATAACACCTTATTTATGCACTTCAATATCTTTTATTTCTAAACTTCTTTATTGAAAGAATTACCAATGGAAAAAAAATATATAAATATTAAATATTAAATCTAATTTGCTGTTGTAAAGAATTAAACAACAAAGAAGTTATTATTAGTAGTCAGTCAGTTGTTAAAATTTAGTAATTACATAATTACAAGTTAAATTATGCATAATGTAAATAAATAATAAAAAAAATTTAACCAAAGGAACAAAGAGATGTAATTATTTTTTACCACTTATCTTTTCTCAATATTTCTTATTACCAATTATTCTTAAATTTAATACTCCAGCGATCTAAAATCAATTAATAATAACCATTAATATTGTTATCATCAAGTCTAATATAAATATGTATGTATTAGCCAAATAGATATGAATGATATGAATGAACAAATAAAGAAAAAAAAAAGTTTTCAAATCTTCAAATCTCCTTCATGTCAGGAAGCTTCCATGATTAGTTCAGCAATATGATTAAATATTATTTATTATTATGAATAAAGAATCCCGCCATAAGAATAATTTCGCTGCTTTAATTCTTAAACCAACAGCATTATTTGTATGTTATATTGCGTTGTTTAGTAATATTGTCGATCATTAAAACCCGAAGCATAAACTTTCAAACGACCATCCTTTTCCATTCTCTTATAAAGCAATGGTTCAAATTTTGCAGGGAAATAAATAATGTCTCAAAGAATGTCTGCGCAAAAGATCGTG